ACAATTCTAGAAAACAGAAATTCTATATATTTCTCACTGCAATATTAATACTATACCCTTTTATCGTTTATTAAACTTAAAACGCATTTCAATTTTGATTTAATTCAATATATTATTTCAAAAATATATTATTAAAAGGTTTCTAAATTGTTAATCATAATGTGAATCAAGACACGATCCTGTCTGTCCGAAGTAATACTGTAGCACTGCCAGCAGCTTCCTATATATCATCCTGTAAGAACATTTGTATGTTTAAAGAAGTTTGTTGCATATGAAAAATCATACATCCAAAATTTTATGAAGAATTTACATAGTATGAGAGTTTATGTACTTACAAAATCATCAAAATCGAAACTGCACAAATCAGAGATATCTTCTGATGCATCATTGTTGCCGGTATCTCTTTTCTCTTCTTTAGCTATCTGTGTCATAGGCGCATCATCATTAACATCAGATTTATTATCGTCCTCTTGTATTTTACGCCTAAGAATGTACATTTATCAAATCGATAATTTTAATATTAAAACCATTTCGGGTAAATTTTTAATTTGATTTGAATGAATATGCTCACTTTCTAAGAGGCTTCTGTTTCTCTAAGAAAAACAAGTTATTTATTTTTTCGGTCACTGGTTTGCATTTTGCTTTTATGAATTCGGGTTGCTCTAGAAGATTTAATAGATCGTCGGCAATAGGAGGCAACGGTTTATCTGGATTAAACGCGCGAGCTGCTAACACATCCCACATGTGTTGCGTTCCAGGATTCGGCATATATCCCGGTAAATATTTCTGACTACTATTGGTTGTGTCATCATCGGCACTAGTATAAAAAATTCGATAAATAATTAACAATATTGTATAAATATTGCAAAAAATGTCTTTGTTCTTCCTAATTTATTGGATATTCTAGGTAAATTTTTTTTTTTTTAGAATTCTTTATATAATTAAAAAAAATTTTTGCAGACTTTCTGTATAATTTTACAACTCTTTAGAAAATTTCTAAAATCACTTATACGAATTAAAACATTTCTCTGAAGTGTTCTGAGAAAGTCTACACACATATCTCTTTTCTGTAATTCTTCATATATATAAATTTTGAAATATTCTAAGATTTTTAAGATTTCTCATTCTATAATTTCTAAAGAAAACTTATAAAACCTGAAAAAATTTAGATATTTTTTCAGAAATTTTCACAAAATATAACACATTCTTAAGAATATTACGAAAAATAATATAAGAAAATTTTTCACTAGGGATATTTTATATTTATGTTAAATACATAAGGCCTGTTCTTTTTGGCTGAACTTTTGCACCAGTTCATCTTTCTTCCTTTTCTCTCCAGGAGGAAAAAAGAGGAAGATGAACTGGTGCAAAAGTTCAGCCAAAAAGAACAGGCCTTATATACTTACGCATCGGGCAATTCTAAGGATCTTAACAGATCATCCATTGCGTCGTCCTGCTTCTGCGACAGTTGGTTCATCACACCTTTCAATGGTTTTTGCGTTATTGCTCCATAATCTTGCTCAAATGGCAAACCGATCTCAATAAGACACTATTATAAAAATTATCTGATTAACATTAACGAAATAAACAATGGAAAGAATATTCTTACCCATGGTTCATTCTCTACGTCAACACTTGGAAATAGTGCCATCATGTTAGCTTCGGTATTTGCTCTATAAACCTTCTCTACTATTGCGACAACATTTTTCTCAACCATGGCTTGCACTAGACTATAAAACGGCGTACTCGCTATCTGTAAAAGAATTTCTTATTCAGTACTATGTATTTCTAAAGTTTGATACCATCTGTTTTGAACACCTTGTATATAATAGGAGAATCTTACTACCTCGTTAGCAGGTAGAATAACATAAGAACCATCCGACAGCCAATATTCCATAGGAATATTTTCTCTCATTGTAAAACCGTGGATCTTATAACTTTTTTGATTGTTTTTGGGAGTCATGGCTTTCTTAGCTTCATCTACAATCGGCATGTACACATGAGCCATCTGAACTTTATACAGAACATTTTTATTATAAAATTAAACAAGAGTTACCCGAAACAGGAATAGCCTTGCCACCGTACACATAGCCACGGATAATATCTTCATCTGTGTGAATGGTCCTATTGTTGTCCATCCATTGTGCGACACTCTTAATTGGCACTTCTTTATCAGGTGTATTGGACATACTTGTCTTACCCATCAATACCATTTTTGGTAACTTCATCTCCTTCGGCATCTTATAACATAAATAAAATATAAAAATATATATATATAAAAGAGATTAATAACTGTTTGATGTACTAGAACTTTACTTTAGCAATTCCAACGATCGGTATGCGTAATTCGCCCAATTCCATTAAGCAGTGCCACGGAGCCGGTTTAGTACTTGGCCGTTTGTAGAAGCGCACATCTGACATGGCATGTTCAAATGTGAGATACTGACCATTAATCTGTAAAATATATATATATGCACATATATAATATATAGTAATATAGTATAATAAATAAACAAATTAATAATATAAATTAAGGCTCGAGTGAAATAAATCAAATACATATAATTGCCTTAAGAGCCAGATACAAGATATTAATGTGTGTAATATTAATTTATTCGATTATTTACTATAATTAAACAAACGTTTCGATCTATGCTTGAGATCCTTTTCAATGTAATATAGTACAGTCCAATGGGTTGATAACGTATGATCCGTTAATCCAGAACACGAAGTTAATATATATCATTAATGTGCAGTATCAGAGCAGAATGCGCAATGTTCTAACAAGAATCATTAAGCTTCTAGGTAATTATCTCTTGTCCAGATAATTATCTCCAATAATATGCCCAACGATTATCATTAAATCTGGAAGCTTAATGATTTTTATTGGAACACACTCGGCTCTGATGCTGCACATTAATGATATATATTAACTTCGTGTTCTGGATTAACGGATCATACGTTATCAACCCATTGGACTGTACTATATTACATTGAAAAGGATTCCAAGCATGGATCAAAATGTTTGTTTAATTATGATCAAATAATCGAATAAATTAATATTACACACATCAATATCTTGTGTTTGACTCTTAAGGCAATTATGTATTTGATGAATAAATATACATATATGTACAATATATATATATTACATATATATATACATATATTTATCAGATCATTATTATATTCTATATAATTAAATGCAAAATTTATAATCTGTTGTAATTTAATGACTGCCCGCACATTGTCCAAATTACCTGTTCTAGAACTTTCATAAGTAGTGCTTCACTGGGTGTTTGAAAATCTTCATTTATATCATGTAATGCTCTTTCTCCACTATACATATCAAATTTTTTGTTCTATTTTATATTTTTATTCTAATTTTATACATAACATTAATCTAAACTTCATTTGTTATTACTATTACTAATATTAAAAATATAATTAAAATAATGCTACAGTATAGTTCATACATTGCTATGAGTGAAATTGCTTCTGAATTTAATATCTGTGTTATTTCCTTTGCCTGAAATTGGTCAACAACATTTTCCTCCTCGTTGAAAGAAGATAACAGGATTATTTTCCTCTCACATTTATCTCTGCAATAAAATCATAGTAAATGTAATATATACTGATTAAAAAATTTAACATTATGCTGTATTTACTTACACGCATTCGTGTTTAATATATTCGACTGCGGCATAAATTGCATCCATCCATGAACAAATCTGATTTGTGGGTTGCAGTTTTTCGATGCTTTTTATCAAATTCCAATTTCCAATTTGCATGTTACATAGTTCCTGTGCATTATCTAATCCTGTAATACTGTCGCTTGTACTACTATCTGATCCCATCAGTATCACTCCCATTTCATCCTTAGGACGTAGAAATATCTGCGCAGTATGCTCATAATTAACAGAAATTAGGATACAAGTGACTAGGATACAAGTGTTAGAAGATATTTTCCATTTGGTGACACAAGTTAGCACAACGAACTCCTGCAAACGTTCATTTAAGCGTCCAAAAAACATTCATGAAACTTCTTATTTTCGTCTTGGGAGATTTAGATTAGCACATACTAAAAGTGGTTATATATGAAATTAACAAAGTTAAATGCAGAAACATATAAACATTTTAAACGATTAAATATCCAATATAATAATATTGTCACAAATTATTTAAAAAATATACATTACTATATTGTCACATATATATATTACTATATACTATATTGTCAAGGTTGATTATATTATACTGCATTTAGATTTTTACATAAAGTAGTTTTTTTAATGTGAATAACTTGGTGTACAACTAATCCAGTGTAATACAAGTAATCGAATTCGCTATTGTTTCTCATTGAATGTCAAGATAGAATAATATTTGTCAACTTGTATCATTGGAAGCATCCTTTAACATTATGATAAAAAGAAGCGTACCTTCTTTTGAATAATATGTTTAAGAATAAACTTCTCATTATCCAACAGCTGCGAATTACTCTGTGTCCCAGGTTGGACGATTCCAACATTCATCACAAAAGTTATACTTTCCTATTGACATAAAATACAAATGTTTGACAATTCAAATAAATCTAATGTCAGAATATAATTGTAAAATTTATCGTACAATTTATAATACAATTTATTAAACAAAAATGTCCTTAAAAACACATATATTTTACACTCTGCCTTACTGCGCTGTATTCTAGCGTGTAGTTTTAAATCATCGTTTTATCGAGCGAGAGTTTGTTAGACTTTAACAAATTAAAAAAATATTAAACTACAACCTTTAATTTTGGCGGCATTTTTTGCGTTATCGAAGACACTGGAAGACACTTGCAAATATTCGGGGTTTCCAGCAAGAATAAACTCTTTAATTCCTGAAACTTGTGTTCAACGTACTGGCGCGGGTAGCTTCATTCAAATCTATTTCCAAATCAAACCTCAAAAGCGAACATAACCTAACTTGCGTGTTATCTGAACGCGGCTTCTTTCTGGTACACGGTATACATATGCATACATCAGTGTCGTCAGTATCAATTTTATTTGACATATTTGCACTGATTTGCACTTGTTTGTATCATTTGTGAACCGTGGCTCGTGCAATCGTTTATGAATAAAAATGGTATTTCTGAACGCAAAATTCATTCTTTTAATAAATCTGAGTCTATTGTCGGTTCATACCAGTGTAGGGGAGAATAAATACTCCGCTGAGACAAATAAGGCTAAATATGTAGACTCCTCGCAGTTGCCAACGTCTCTCAGAGACTTGGATAAACCATTCAGGATGGCAAAATTGAATGTGCTTTGGGTTAAGGCCAAAAATGTGAGTACCGGATTGCACGTTGAATACAATTAAAAATATAATAAGTAAATGTACTTTTTAAAATTTAAAGTGAATCTGATGACTCTCTTAGGTCCAATTGTCTAAGATATCAACGTTACTTTAATTTTAAGCGAGGCTTAAAACTCTTTCTGTCTCTTTTTTGCTTTAAAATGAGACATAGAGTTTTAAGTCTCGCTTAAAATCAAAGTAACGTTGGTGCAACCAGGCTTTAAAGACTGAAAATCTCTCTTTTTCAAGATTGGCTCAATTTTCACTCTTTAGAATAAAATTCTACTCTAAAGAATTTAGAGTGTATATATTTTTTACATATAAGTGTATTCTTTATTTCTAATTTTACATGTGAATATTTATTTCAGCGTCTAACTGATAGCAAGCTGCAATCAATCTTCAGCGATCTAAAGATTCATGACAAAGAAGAAATTGCGTACAAGCATTTCAAGTCCGATGGAAAGGATCCTGATGGCTTAGAAGAGGCACATCTGAGACAGAAGCTCATCGGTAACTTTTGTCATCCGATTACTTTTGTCTCTATTGTCTTACTAAATCCTAATCTCCTGTAACTTTTTGTCAAAGGAATAATGAGTACGTATGACCTATTGGAACACTTTGTCGAGACTGAAGATCCAAAGTTACTTAAAATGCACAAAGCGTTAAACGATGGTAGCAATTATGTTGCGAAGGATGTATTTAATGATATAAGATTGAACAAATTATGGGCTAAAGCTGAAATGGCTGGTTTTACTGGTATGTTTTTTTGTAATTACTGATATTACATCAATAGAAATATATCTTATAAGAAAATTTAATTTAGAATTATAATTCTGTTTTTATTTTAGATGAGGAGCTTGAGACTTTAAAACAAGAATTTCAACATCATCAAGAAAAGGTGGATGAATACATGAGTTTATTGAAAGAACAGTCTAAAGATTCAGAGAAGTCTGAAAGTTAGTATTTTATGTCCACATATAGTATATATAGTTTTTAAAATAAAGTAGTAAATTAAAATGTTATTTTTATATTTTATATCTATGTGTATATATCGTTTAACATTTTTAGATATCTTACATCTTAAATCAGAAAGCTGGAACGAGTTGGAAGAACAGGAGGAATTATCAAATAATATACCAGATCAGAAAATAAGTCACATGGAGAAGGCAAATTTACTTCGGTACTATCATATATTATAAAAGATATATGTAGTTTTTATGACTGTTTCTATTTTTATTTAGGGAAAAACATTTGAAGTTGAGAAATGGATTTGATCGTTTAGACAGACTCACCGCAAAGGGACCAAATCATAAAGAATTTATAGAACCTAAAGTACAAGGATTGTGGAAAATTGCACTGGAAGCAAAATTCTCTCCTGAAGAATTATCATCTTTAAAGGTATAATAATAACTACAGGTATAATAATAACTATAATTTAATCTCACATTTTGATACATATCTGAGAATAATTATAAGCTATAATTATGAATATTAAATGATAAATGTTAAGAAAGCCATTATCAAAATTTTCATAATTTAGATTGTTAATTGAATGCATTTCGATTATATTTACATTAAAATGAATACATATTGCATAGGAGGAACTTTTACACTATGAATCAAGGTTACTTAAGCTACGACATTTACATGCAGAGGAAGCTTTGGAAGCAGCGCAGAAAAAACAACTTCATGATTTAGAAAATTCAACTGCAGAACAACACATAAAGAAACATATTAGAACTGTACAAAAACTTCATATGGATCTAGAAACTAAAATCATGCAGAAGCATACGGAATTATAAAGAAATTATATAAGAAGCTATAGATCATTATTATTAAAAAAAAAAATGCCAAAATACATGCAATCTAATTACTATATATAAAGCAGAAATAAAATCATTTATTATCATGAAATAAATGGTGAAATAATTATCTATGGAAATGTTTATATTCAAATAATTTGTCGATTTACATTCTTAGCAACAATTTTTACTAAATAATTTTGATGATTTTCTAACAAAACTCTCTTTAATAGATTTGTATTATATAAAGCATTTAAAATATATATATATATACATATATAAATAATTTGTACTATAAATAGAATTTTCTATATAAACAATGTATGAGAACGAATTGTAGGGAACTATTTTATTTTTATGTAAGTCACGTACATAAAAAAAATGGAAGAATGTGAAGATCGTTTTTGAGTACATTTATAACATCTTCAACAATATAAATTAGTAATTGTAAGATTATAATTATAATCCAGTTGCGAGTTTATTATTGTTAATCTTCTTTTTCTCTTTCGACTTCCCTTGATCCTTCGATCCGACTAGTTTCTCACATTCGCACCAAGGTGTACTTGATTTGTCACACAGCAGAGAAATATTAATAACTGTTAGAGAAGTATCTGATATAGTCATCTTGATTGTATCCAATATTTTATATGAGACATTATTCAAGCCAGTTTGTCGGTCTCGTTTCCTAGTAACCTCTCGCTGATTATAACACTTTATCATATCTCTCTTTCTATGATTTCTATCGTGTATGTGCCTGTAATACATATTTCACATGTAACACTTGATAGAGCAGTGTTGCATGCAACGATAAGTGTTATATAATTTATATCTAGTTTTATTCAATATCTTACGATGAATACAGAAATTAACAAAGTCTCATAAAATGAATCTTACCTAAATGTATTATGCGTTCCTGTTGATATATTCTGTGGACGACTGACACTGAAGCCAGCCTCTTTCAGTCTAACATAAAATTCGTCGTCTTCGAGACCCCATCCCCAATATTTGTTGGACATCCCGTTTACTTGTATGAAATGCTCCCTGCAAAAAAAAGTGCATTCAACAATAATAAACAGTGTACAATCTTTTTGTGGTTTAATATCACATTTATTATTATTATTATTATTACCAAGATCCAGCTTCAACTGTATTTGGCACTTCTTTATTTATTTTATTTATTCATCTAGCGATCTAATGCAACTTATATTATTGTTTATTACAGTTTTAAACATACCTTTTAATAAGTAATATACCACCAATAAAGGTAAAATAATGATATCTGGGATGTAAGTTTGGTGACGATATATGATGAGGTCCTGCACTTGGATATGCATACGATAACTGATCGTTCATAGGCAATAGATCTACATCGTGCATTGCAATATAATCAAACGCTTTCTCTGTTTCAAGGAAGCCTATGTTTATAAGGGACGCTCGATTGAATCTAAATCTGTCCACCTGGAAAAAAAATTAAATATGAGATTCAAGTAATATTCTAATTGCTCACAAGATTTTCTAAAACTACAATACCTGGTTTAATACAAATATATGATAATCTATATTTTGTTTGTCTAGAAATTTCTGCATATGTGGTACGAATATTAGTAATTCTTCAAAGCGATCCCTAAATGGCATTAGTATGGCCAATCGATGCTCAGCTTTCTTTTTACGTCCATTAATTTCATCAGTTATTTGCTTGAGATGTTGACTTGGTTGAGCATTTGCTTCACACTTGCATTCATCTGAAATAATAATAAAATCACATTTTAAAAAACCATTTTTATATGATATGTTTTTCAATATGTCAATAACTAACCGATACTGATGGGAGATATGCTAATTATACATGATGTGACGAAGGTGATCAAGATGCAAGCAAAGATATATTTAAACCTTGTGCTTTTCCAAATGTTATCCATGCTAAATAATGTTTACAGAAATTATCTCATAAAATATAGATTGCAGGTATTAATAATTAATTGACAGAGAAAAATATTGCTTTAATGTTCCGCTGATATCTGTCAGTGGCATGTCTTCTTTTTTGAAAAAAAGAGAAGTTTTCTCCAGAAAGGAGAATTAGAGAATTTTAAGTGTTCAATCGTAGTGGAAAAAGGCGAACCCAAAGACAATTTAATTCACAATGTTATTCTTAAAATTACAGTTGTGATTAATAATGCAATTGTTAATTAAATGAATATTTCGACATGGAATTGTTGTAAAGTATTTCATGAGAAGTGCATTTCTTTAAAGGGCCATCGACGTCGCAAATCTCTCTCTTTTGACCGAGTTCGTGCACGACGAGTTGTCTGCTCAACAATGATTCTTCATTAGAGTACGAAGTGTCCCTCGTTACACTATAACTCGTACGACAAAATCGCTCCGCGAGCATCGTGCAAAACGCACACGTCTCTCGCGAATTTGCGAGCATCACGTAATGATTCGACTCGCGTGTGCGACTCGTGCATCGTCGACTTCTAGTCGTACTCTAGTGATGCTCGTAATAGTCACAGCTCGCCCGAATCCACGTCGTTCTCAATCGTTCTGACCGTTCATGTCATTTCGTAGCAGAAACTCGCCGCAACTTGACGATCTCGATAATCTTGACAGGTCACCAATACTATCACTTATTCACTTTGCGCCGATTCGTATGCTCCAACATGCTCGTTGATGTTCGTTGATGCTCGTTGATGCTCGTGCATGCTCGTGCATGTTCCGTGATTTTCCGGAATTCCGGATTTTCTGAAATTCCATCAAGGAGGTCTGTTCGTTATCCCATATCGTATTTCCTGCACTTAAAATGAGTAAATATATATAAAATTGAAAAATAAAAAAGGGAAATCTTATGCGGGGTCTACAATAGAAGTCGTAGCGGTCGTAGGGTCTTAAGTCGTAGAAAATTGACCAATCATAGTCGAATATGAGAAGAATAATCAACTGTGATTGGTCAATTTTCTACGACTGCTACGACTTCTATTGTAGAGCTATGATAGGAGCATGTTGGAGCATGTTGGAGCTTGCAAACCTCATTCTTTATAGAAGCTGAAGTTTTTGTACTCTTTATAGCTTTCCTATTCTTCTCTAATTTACATAATTCTCTATTCCATTTTAAATGCAAAAATTTTAAGTACGAAAGTTGGTACAAAAAGATACAAAAGTATATAAAAAAGTATAATACAGAAATATACAAAAGTACAAGAATACAAAAAATAATTTTGCAAATAATAAATATTAGATTCGTTTTTATAGCTCAACTTTTTATGATATTTATATTTCTTCTTTCTTTCTTTTAAAAAAAATTAGACAAAAAAGGAAATCCAAAATTTGTTCTCTTTGTTGAGTTTTTTTATACTTTTACTTTTTTCTTTTTTTTTTACTGCAATTATATTACATATATACTTTTCAAAACTCTAATTTTATTATTTTGAGTGCAAAAAAAAGTTCAACCGTAAAAAATAAATCTTAGGTTTGTTCTTTATATCTTATAAATTTGTTCTCTTTCTCCTTTCTCTCGTTTATTCCACTTTAAGTGCAGAAAGTGTAATATGATAAATCTGCAAAAAACAAATTTATTTTTTAAGCTATAGCTTTTATTGTTTTTTACAATATGTTTCTTCTTCCTTTATCTTCTTTACATTTCAAATATATACTGTTTTTTTCTTTTTTATTATTAATATTTTTTTTTCTAAAGATACGTTCTTTCTACAAATGCAAAGCGAGAGCAGCTAAAACGAACAAACCCATAGCGTCGAATCGTTCATTCTATCCTCCTTCAATGAATGGATTACGTCAACCGCGTTGTAGGGTTGGGTGTAGTTCGTTATAATTCGGCGGAGTAGTCATGTCAAGGGTGTTGTCCGTGTGTGATTGATTCGCTTAGGAATTTAAGGAAAAAATGTGGCTCCAATATTACATGTTATTACTGTTTCTGTGCTGTTTAGAGTTACATCGAATTTACGGTAATGCATTTTTTTTAGACGAACGTTGCAGAAGCAAGATTAATCGATCGCATCGTGGAACGCAGTCATATACTTCGCAATGCGCATCAAATTACGAATATTTAAATATCTAAAATAATCATATATATATATATATATAAAATTAACGTACCTTCTCAATCTGATTTAGTCTTTTGTTTCATTATGATACTTGCACCAACTTGCAATCCAACTTTATTTATATTGCGGGGAGTACATGAGATCTGTTCTTTGCACTGAACTGCACTGAAAAACTTTCTATTATGAAACTTTGTATTTCATCAAACTTTCAAGTATTTATATATCTATTTCATTTTAAATGCGAGTACATACTAGTTCAACCACAAAGAACAGATGAACTATGGAATGTTGAAATGTAGAATGTGTTATGTCATATATTAACTGCTTGTTACTGTATTAATTATAATTATTGTATGTATTAACTGATAGGCCAAAACATCAACAACACACTCACGTGGTGTACAGTCTCCGAAGGCGAGCAGAACAAATGTCAGGCCTTCTCCAGGGCAGTTGATCGTGAAAGAGGATCTTTTAGCTATGATTATTTTTCGGTGCAATGCAAGCAAGCTTTCAACAAAGAAGAATGTATGTCCATGCTGGATCGCGAAAAGGCGCAGATAACAACATTGGATGCTGGAGAGGTCTTTATAGCCGGACGATATCACAGTCTTGTACCAATAATGCAAGAAATATATGAAAGTGGCGTAAATTATCAATATGCTGTCGCAGTGATTAAAAGAGGCTCTCTGTCTGATGTACAGTCTTTGTATGATCTCAGAGGCAAGAAGGGCTGTTTTGCTGGTGTGGGAACACTAGCGGGTTGGGTTATTCCTATTAATAATGTGAGTAAAATTTATATATTGTGACATGAAGTATCTGAATGTAAAAATTTTTAACACACTTATATGCAATAAAATGTATTTTTATCAGCTTATGAAGAAAGGAGGAATGGAAGTTATTGACTGTAATAATCATGTAAAATCAACGATTAAATTCTTTGGGCCTAGTTGTGCAGTAAACTCATTAATTGATAAAAACAATCCAATTGGTAAGTTTAACGTAAAACCAGATCTATTCTTTGTAATTGATATTTTTACAAATATGTTATATGTGCAAGTACATATATAGTATATATATATATAATTCGCTTGGAATTATTTAAAGCATTAAAGATTTAACTTCGACCGGTATAGGCTGTTGAATTTCTATTATTAATTGCATTTCTCACATGATACAGTCTAAAAATAAGATTCTTATTGATAAAGAATAGATTTAAAATATAAATGCGTTTTCATTCTACAGTTATAATCTAGGGATTCAATTGCAGGTGATAATTCTGATCACTTGTGTAATCTATGCATCGGAGAAATACCCGGCGGCAAATGTACAAACCGAGATCCTTACTCAGGGTACGAGGGAGCTTTCCGCTGCTTGGTTGAAGCAGGTGAAATTGCCTTTTTAGTGCACACGACTGTGGACGAGATGACTTCAACGACATTCGACTTCAGTATGTAGCTCTATAAGTGAAATTTTCAGAGAATAAAAATCGGCAAAGTACTTATGGCGCGGTCCCATAGTGCGGAACGTATACGGAATTGGCGGAACGATGTCCGTCCAATCGCAAGCATTCCGTCAATTGCGCTCCGTCGTTATGTCTTTTCTAAACCAATCACGAGCATTCCGCCAATTCCTCATTGCGACAATTCCGCATCATGGAACCGCACCATTATTTTATAATTCTCGTTATTTTAGGTTCCGTGAAGAAAGAACATTTCGAACTGCTATGCCCAAACGGTATTCGCAAGTCCGTGGACGATTACAGTACTTGTAATTGGGGTACCGTACCGTCTCGCGCGATAGTCACATCTTCGGCGACAAACTTTGAGACTCGTCGAAGATATCAAAGATTTTTGGAGAAGATTGTTCGAATACTACACAAGAATAGAAATGGCACGACGAATCGTTTTGGCGATCAGGAAAATTTCATGAATCGTCCAGGTTACGATAATAATCAGAAAGATTTCGAGAATCGTCCAGGTTACGATAGCAATCAGAGGGATTTTGAAAACCGTCCAGGTTACAACAGATTTGGTGAGAGTGACTATAATAGAGGCGGATTTAGAAATCCGAATGAATATGGCACAGACCATTGGAATCGTAGCAGATACGACCGAAGGTTTGGCGGTGACGGAAGAGGAGGAGTAGATGGAGGATTGAACTCGTGGGACAAACCCGCATTCAACGATACATTCAATTACTATAGCAGAGAAGGAGAGAACATTGAACCAGCGAATGTGCAACCGATAGAAATATTTGAATTATATGAATCGGCACCTAGATACGGATTGCAGCATAATTTAATATTTTCTGTAAGTCTTAATATTCTCATGTTTTGTTTGTTATTTGTTTACTTAGAACTTATTTGTAATGCATGCTATTTTTCTAGGATTCTTCTCGCGATTTTGTACAACTGCCCGAAAAGGATCAAACATACACAGGGTATTTAGGACAATCTTTAGAACATATATTAGGAGTACATCATTGTCCCGTAAATCGGATGGCGCTGTGCGTTACATCCGAGCCAGAAATGGAAAAATGTATAAAAATGAAGGTATAGTTTAGATTATATACTTAAAATATCACAATTTACGTTATATATTTCAAACATTATTTGAACATTGTTAATTTTATTATCCTTAATATTTTTCGCAATAAATGCTTTACAGGTTTTAAAATATTAGTAGCATAAAATTTAGAGGGATTATTATATCATTTTGATCGTTGCAACTCCGAAAAATAATCAGCGTGTAGTCATATTGTCATATATTTGACATGAAATTTATTTAAATTAGATATAAATGTATTATTCCAATATCTGTCTTTGAACACTGTAAATGGCGCTTCTCTTATTTAATTAATTTAATATCCTTATTGTGTTTGTAGATCGCCTTAAAAGCCCAGCTTTTGAAACCAGAATTAATTTGCCACAAAGGTCATAGTCAAATAAATTGTATGCAGTCGATAAGAAGTGGGTACGTGGGTACATATTGCATTTAAACGTACATATATTCTAAAATAAAATTACCGGCGTTATAGTTTTATTTTCTTTACGGTAGAATTGCCGATGTAGCTGTATTAGATGCCAGTGATGTCTACACCGCTGGACTGCAATTCGAACTGATTCCGTTTATATCTGAAGTGTACAATTTGGGTACACCGGACTATTATGTTGTCGCCGTCGCGAAGGAGGAGGACGACAATACAGATCTGACATATCTAAAAAATAAGAATACTTGTCACACTGGAATCAACATGGCTGCAGGATGGGTTTATCCACTGGCATATCTGATTTCTAATAAGTGGATCAGAGGATACGGTTGCGATTCCGTGCGTGCTGCCGCGGAATACTTTAGCAAATCCTGCGTGCCAGGCGCACTCAGTACTGAATACAATATAGGTAGCTGAAAAAAATTCTAACATACTTCCAAAAATTTTAACTAAAAATTTCTAATTAAAAGTTCTAAATGAAGAAAATTGATAATTTTTCTAAGCTTGCAGTTTGAAAATTAATGGAATAAAGTAAAATAAATAATGATAGCAATAAAATTAATAGCAAATTCTTTCATAAAATAATTGCGTTTGTAAACTTTTCTTATTTAATATTTGATTAATTAGTTATTTATTATTTGTAGGTGTGCCTTACGATAACATGTGCGACTTATGCCACGGGGTGAGCTACCGGTATTGCCGAAGAGACGCTTCCGAGGATTACTTTGGTTACACAGGTGCTTTTAGATGTCTGGTAGAGGGAGGTGGTGACGTGTCCTTCGTGAAGCATACGACGGTCGCAGAGAACACCGACGGCAAGCGCAAAGAACTTTGGGCACGCAATACCTTCACAAAAGATTTTGAATTGCTTTGCCCAGATGGTACGCGTCGTCCAACAACAGATTATATGAACTGCAATCTAGGCAAAGTCGCTGCCAATGCTATAGTTACACGCGGCGGTTATTACGGTTATAATCAGACACAGATCAACGCATACATCAATCTATTTATATACGCACAACAGTTCTACGGTCGAAAGGAACCGGATGAATTCAGCTTCAGCATGTATTATAGTCGACCGCCTTACAGCGATCTCATTTTTCAAGATGCCACTCAGCAGTTGGTGATAATCCCGCCGAACAAGCGGGAATATAGCACGTACCTCGGGCCAGATTTTATGAGAGCCAGAAGAATCGTAGATTGTAACGCAGGTGCGTCAGCGATAAGTTACTCGTTGTTTGCTACGATAATTATGATTGCGTTCACTTTCGCGTTTGGTAGATAAGTATAATGTTGGCGATTTATATACTTTTACACGAATACTCGAACAAGAATTTATCGAGATAAAAAAATAGAGATTTGACAAATGAATTTGATATAGTATATTTTATCAATTGGCACAGTATGTATATTATAGTTAGCATTCTAGTATATTTTAATGCTGCTACATATCACTAATATTTTCAAAGATATATTCTAAATATTATTCAAATATTGTTTTATATGTATTTTACACGTATATTTTTATAAAAGTACAAATGATTGAAAGACGGAGTTGAATATATAAATTGAAGCATAATTACTGCCTTTGCATCCGTCTAATAAAGCAATATCTTTAAGGCCCAGTTCCACAACTCACGGTTAACTCTTAATCGAGGTTCAACTTATTCACTGTCTCTTTCCAATTTTAGAATTGGAAAGAGATGAGAAACAAGTTGAACCTCGGTTAAGAGTTAACCGTGAGTTGTGGAACTGGGCCTAAGTGCTGCCTTTGCATCCGTCCAAATACAAGAAAACTTATCGATCTGGTAATTTTAAGGATTATTGTATTTAAAATATATTTGATATATGTAAGTACATTTTATACCGTCTACTAATGTTTTTTGTAGTAATAAATCTTTATAAGGTTTTTTTTCCATGCATTTTTACCCTATTCCATGCGTTACTCAGTAAAATAGTACCTCGAGTAGAAAAATCAACAGAGGACGTGAAATAAGATAGAACTTGTTTATAAATCCAGACTTTATGAAAAGTATTGCTCGTTTCTCAAATGGCGAAACACCGGAAGTAGAATGACGTGCGATGACAGGAAAGATTGAAATTACAATTGAATAACGAACAGGAAAAGAGACCATTGCTTTGGCTGTCAAAAATTCACGCAAATCTTAAGTTTGGATCAAAATTTTTAAAGTTAACACGATTCTCAATCCGCCTCTAATAATTCGAATAATGTAATTTTTAATAAAAATCTCGACGTTGAATATTAAAGAAAGTTCTCTTATCAATCGGAAAACAGATTGTTTCTGCAAGGAAATAGTGCACGATAAAGCGATATGAATAGTGATACTCGGCCAACGAATACGTTTAAACACGAAAAATTGGGAAAAGGATCTAACACGCAAATCGATAGGCGCAATAAGCCCCAAGTAATATTCTTGTAAGATCAGAAATGTAGTAACATAATACATTAAAATATATACATTCAGGTAACCGATGCTCGCCAAATATTTAACAATCTGAATCAATCCAGTCAACAAAAGCAGAAACTAGATTCTAACTTAACATCGACATCTCACACCTCATCTTCGTCTACAAAACATACTAATGCCATAACAGGTAAAATCTTGTATAATTGATTGTAAATAATTTTCATTTCTATCTAATAATAAATTCACACATATATAAAATAAATATAATATATTATAATTGTCGTTTTTTTATTCATATCTATATCAATAACTTGTCACTTTGTTCTACGATTTTTTCCAATTGTCAACTGTATAAGTTCGAAATTTTCAGGTAAACATCAAGTCCATAAATTAGTGGACAGCAAGCAAGTTCCGTTTCATCAATTTGACAAGAAGGCATTTCTTCTAGATACTTATGCTCGTATTGTTGCTAGCAATAACAGACGTTGTCCTAAGCGATTGCGTGAACTTGCTAAACCAAAGAAACAAGCTCGTAGCGATCTGAATGACTATACTGCGAATTTCAATCTGAATTACCGTCATGTAACTAAAATTTATCGTACGGAAGACAAAAGCAAAAACTTAAAAGAGTTAAAGAACAAATAGTTCGGTTATCATAATAAATTGATTTAAATAATTTCTCAGAATGATCACTCCAGTTTCAAACAACTCAACAGAATTCAAAAGACAGGAAAAATATCTGTATATAAAGAATATTTTAAAAATTAAAAAATATAATTATTTTTGAACCTCTGCATTTTTTTACGAAATAAAATACAAATCTTTCTGCTCTTGTAAAAGAAAATTATGAGACAAAAAAACTAATGCAATAAAGTGATTGGATTTCATGCATCTCTTTCCTGTAGTAAGATTGGAATGTAGATATGTAAGTAATATCTTTCCTGTAAGAGACTCGTTATATATTCCTTCGTTATATATTTCCTCGTGTTGAGGAAAACATATGTAATATGTAATACCTACATCAATATTAACGCAATCAGTTTGCAATTATTATTTATATCATTTGAAAAATATGTGCCAAGAGGAAAAACCGATAATGTTGCGAACTGTGACCGTTGGAGATAAATGTAAAGATGATTTTTGCAAGTCGCTGATTTATCTGCATCTCTCGTCACGGATAATCACATTAATTCCCGCTTCGTTTTGGTTCAAAATCCCGTGCGCGTGCACGTATTTGAATTACAAAATCGCGCATGACCTCACGTACGCCTTGCTGTTTGTGGGAAATATTCTCGTATGATAGAGTCAAGTTTCCCAGAAAGACAATTGTGATTAAGCGCCCGCGTCTTCCTCCTCGCGGTTAGGTATATAAAAGTCCTTGTAGTGCCCTTGAGATGTTTTTAGTGCTCGCTGGTGCGGCACTTAACGTGCTTAACCGGTTTCACGTGCGTAAGTTTCCTACTTGCATTAAACTCGGACAGTCCAAACTGTCTTCCTCTGCAGGAACATCATGAAGTGCTTGTTCGTTATCCTTTTGAGCGTCGCTGTCGCGTTCGCCGGTGACAATCTCGCCGACGAAGAACATGAAGTCACCGCTCCGATTGGAAAAATTCGCGGTTCCGTCATCATCTCCAGACTCGGCAAGAAAATTTATTCCTTCCGCGGTGTGAGATACGCCGAACCACCGACTGGACAACAACGTTTCCAAGTAAAACATCAGATATTGCCTGCAGGATTGCGAACATTATTAATTGTAACATTGTTTTGTTATCCGTGTTACTTTTTTTCAACAATGTCGTGTCACTTTTCAGTAACGATCATTACTTCTAATGATCTTCTAATGGTCTTTTATCATATAGCGAAAATAAAAATTGGAATGTAATACACACCCGGTTCCAAGTATCAATGTAAGATTATTTACTTTAGTATCAACGTAAGATAATTAACTTTAGTCTTGATTCAATTTACTCTCTCTTTATTCTTTTCTAATTCCAATGCCCGTTTCTACCATTGTAATTTAATTTAATTTAATCTTGGTTCAACTAACTCTTCGTCTTTTTATAATTCTAATAAGAATTAGAAACTATATTGAGGACATAATGTCCATTTATACTAATATAGATTAACTTTAATCTCGGTTTAATTTACTCCTTTTCTAATTCTTAAATCTAAAAAAAAGATAAAAAGTAAGTTAAACTAAATTTAAAGTTAATCTACATTGGTAGAAACAGGCATGAGAGATGTAACAGTAAGTAATTAAATCGAGATTAAAGTTAATCTTACATTGATGGAACTGGGCTTTAGAATTAATTAGTTTCCATTGATTATTTGCACTTTCGAATATCTACACGTTCCCCAAATACTCTGTAAAGTATAGATCTGGAATATTCTGTTACGTTTCAATACTTTTCAATGATTTATTTTTATTAACGTTTCCCAAACGTTTCACAAAATCATGTATTTCGGATGCGCTTGAAGTATGCTTCAATAATTTACATCTAGAAGCTTTTTAGCAAAATGCTTTTAAAACGTTCTGCAAAGAAGGCATGATTTCAATACACTCCTCGCATGCTTTTCAGAAAAATCTAATTTTATGCTGGCCAACTTTCCGGGAAAAAATGTTTCACATATATAATTATATATAATTATACATAATTGTACAAAATTACATATAATTAGATAAAAAATTGACATATTTTATATACAATTATATATAATTACATATAAAATTATATACAATTCTATATTATTACATGTATGTCCATATATATAACATTTTTTTCCGGATTAATACTGACAGATAATTATTAATTACTAAATTTAAAATACTAAGAGCACTGAACAAAACAGTGTTTTTAATACTTAAAATAAGTAATTATAATAATCATTGCTATCCACACACACACACACACACACACACAATAATTCCAATATTCTGTAATTCTTATTGAAACTTTGTCCACGCTTCCTAAACTCAATAAAAAATTTAAGTATCTAGTATATGGAGTATCAGAGCATTCGGATATGCTTCATGCACATTTCTATAGCTATATGTTATTATCGTTATTGCATCATAAGTCTGTCCTTATTTTATGTCTAATGAATGCTAAAAATAGAATGACACGATAGCGCTCCCTGAACGTAGTATAAGATAAAATTTAAATATTTTTATTTTTGTTTTATACTAAATAAATAATAAAATATATAAATAATAAAATAATATTGACGTAATAACAATGATAGCGTGTGCTTTCTCTGAACGCAGTCTATATAATTTAAAGAAATAAAATAAAATTGTAACAGAAATATAAATTATATAAAGAAAATTGAAAGCTTCTCAAAATCATAAAGAAATGTAAATGAAGAGATTTTATGTTTTTTTATTAGAAGTTCTATTGACTTTCCATTAATCTTTTGCGGTTTCGAATGTACATATTATGTACATACGTAGTCCACACCACGCTCTCTGAACGCACCGTATAAAGCATCATGTATTATAGAACATTCTTGTTATGTTTTCCACACTTTTTTATAATTCATTTTTCTTTATATTTCTTAAACACTTCACAAAGTGTGTACAAAACACTTCATTAAAGTTAATCGTTATGCTCGTGCTTGTCGAAGAATTTTATACACTACGTTAATGCTTTTTGATGTTTAGTTATCGGTCCGATGTCTCAACTTTTGCCTCTTATAAATCTCGTTCACACATTAGTTACTTTTCCCTTGCGCTAGATTTACTTTTCAATTAACGCTTTTTTGATATTTGTTTAATTTTATTTTCGCTAGTAATTAAAAACATTTTATTTTTTGATCCAGTAATTTGTTCGCAAAAATAAGGCCAAAGCTTATTAGACTAGACCGAATTTTTCTTTTAATTTTATTTTCGTCTAGGTCGCAATTCCAGCGGCAGATTGGAATGACGTTTTCGATGCGACTAAAGAAGGACCCGCCTGTCCAGCATTATTCGAACAGAATATAATGGAGGATTGTCTCCGTGTGAATGTCTATACAACGAAAGTGAGTCTCATGATGTAACGCGCATTCACGCTGAAGAAGGTATGAAGTCACTAATTGAACAATTATCTTGATTGCAGTTACCTTCGGAGAACGATCCTGTAAAGAGACCCGTACTAGTATTCTTCCATCCCGGTGGTTTTTACTTATTCTCGGGTCAAAGTTCTAACTTTGGACCTCAGTACTTGCTAGATAAAGACATCGTTCTTGTCACCGTCAATTACCGTCTCGCGTCACTTGGTAAAATCCCGCGTTTTATTATATATCTTTCCAATTACTCGCGGACTGCAATCGATAAAATTTCGAGTGAAATTTAAAGTTAGAAGGAAAATATCCGGGAAAAAATATTATATATATATATATAAAAT